CTGATTGTGGTGATTCCTATAACAAGCTTCAAAGTTAAATAAGGTAAAACTCGCGTCCGAATTTTAATTCACATTAAACTCAGATTACTCATAAATAGAAGAGTAAAACGTCAAGTTCTGATGTTAACAACCAAACAATTTACTGGCACTCTTTAGCTTAAGTTTTGGCAAATAAAGANCCCTGGAGGTAACGTGCACTGTCCTGTTTCCTCAGGTAAAAGTAAGTCGAACCTGGGATGGACGCCTCTTCACTTGGCCTGTTACTTTGGTCACAAAGACGTAGTGGAAGTTCTGCTCAAGGTAGTCTTTTCTTTTGTTCATTAGAAAGTGGAAGTCCTAACCAGAGTGCTCAGGTAAAGTGTCTTACTCCATGCTCTGCAGGCAGGTGCAAATGTGAACTTACCCAATAATATAGGAGATACTCCGCTGCATAAAGCTGCCTTCACAGGAAGAAAGGTCTGTTTGCATGTCAAATCTTTCACTTCAGCTTTCTAATTTTCTTACAATCTTTGCATCATTTTGATAATTTTTGTGCACACATTTATTCATCCATTGAGCCACTAAATGAACCAACTGATCAATGAATCCATCACATATTGATCAGGAGGTTGTCATGCTGCTGCTGAACTATGATGCATGTGCTGCTGTCATCAATGGGACAGCTCAGACTCCCAAAGATGTCACGCAAAACGCAGAGATCAGAAGCATGCTAGAAGGTGAGGGATCCAGCCTGTCGGCTTCAAACTTACCATGTGCTCAATCGGTTCCCATGATGACACATCTGACATCCATGCATACAGAATATTTATGTTATCTATAAGTGAAATTATCTTTCTGTGAATGACATCTTGATGCCAGCGGCTGAGAGAACGGAAGAGAGGAAACTGGAGGAGAAACTTCTGGAAGCGGCACGTGAAGGAGACCTGTCAACGCTCAGTATGTTGGTTAGTGTTATACTCTGATTCATGATACTGCAGCCCACTTTCAAACCAGTTCTTTACCAGTCAGGAGACTCTTTATCAGTGGTGGGCAGAGYCAATCCAAAAATTAGCTCCGCAATTTCTAAAGAGCTTATAAAAATATTTAGGTCCGCAACTTCAAAAGCACTCGTGCCATAGAAAAACTAGCGGAAGCTAATGTTAAAGCGCAAGTTCAATTTGACACTTACAAGCTGGCAACAATTCATGTACATTATAATATATGCGCAACACTGTCAACTAGCGGTGTATGAACTCTTTTATAACTTAACTCTACAACCGCCGATTGCGAATGTGATTTTATGAAACAGACTTGTAGCTCCTGGTGTAAAAAATAAAAAGTTGTTGAGGATTGCTAGTTCAGCTGCTTCTTTGTCTTTTTCTTTTGCTTGTTGTAGATT